ATCTTGCAGTCCCTCTTGGGAACATCTTTCTTTAATTTCCTGTTTTCACTTTGTCTACAAATACTCAATAGCATTACAATTTGTTGTCTTAATACCGCTAAAGGTTGTATTAATTATTAATATTTTAATTTTAATATTGAAATTTTTAAATGGCTAAGATAAAAGAGTTGTAAACTTTACTTGCTGCCTCTTGTTTCTTGCTAGTTCTTAAGCATTCTCATTTTTACCAGCTCCCTTATATATATGAATATCCTATGCTCTTCTTCCTCATATGTATGAATCAAATTTCTTAGCATTTCCATTATCAATTCTATACTCATGGTTTCCATATTCCTATTATACTCAAATTTTGCATTCATTTTTAACAGTATATCAATGTGATTAAAACAAACTTTGTCATTTTGGCAGTCCTCTGCCTCTCTGCTTCCCTACTTCCTTGAAAGTTTAAAGTAATATTATTATATTCCATTTGTATTCATGACCCAACAACAGTGTGGAATCTTGGGTATCCTATTGGAATATCATGCTTTCACAACATGTCAGCTACTCTGCCAAGTTGATTCTGTCATTACACAGCTCTTCTTTTTCATTATCAGAGACAATATTCTAGCACAGATCACTAGGAAATAATTTCTAAAATGTGGCAGTTTTTCACTATTTGATATGTTTTCCCTCTTTTGAGCCATCTGCGTAGCTTTGTCAGAAAATAATTCAGATTGGACTTGCCCCCTTTCCCCTCAACTTCAAGACCTTAGAGTGCTTTAACATTGCTTACTAAAACAACTCCAGACAGCTTTTCAAGATTGCAAGCAAAATCATTTGACCCTAATTCTGCCTATCTGACTTGATTTTACGTTACTTCCCAAAAGTCTTTACTTCAACCAAGTTGAGTTTCTTACTGTCAATTTCCATCTTCCAAACAGTTGACTCCCAAGGAATTTGGGTCTTCCAGTCACATCAATTCTCCAGCTAAAATCATCCAAAGCATTTTCGTGGCTCTTTGCATCTTTCAAAGCACTTCTGCAGTTATTATTAATCCTTCCAATAATCATGAGAGATAGGTAGATATTGTTTTCCTCACTTCTAACATGAGAAACTTGTTTTAGAAAGGCTAAGTGGCTTTTAAGAATCACATGACTCTCAATGAACTCAAAGTCTTGTGATTGCAAATATGGTGTTTATTACTTCAGAACATTTTTTTAGAATACTTTCTGATGCCTCATTATCTTCATTTAATATTCAAACCTAGCTAAATTGCTCTCTTTCTTCCAAGTTTTTTATGGCTAAAAAAGCCTACCAAGAACTCATCCCATGTTAGATGACTACACAATAGATGTTTAATAAAATATTCATCACTCATCTCTTCTCTGTTAGACCATGAATCCAAAGTGCTGGAGGGTCAACCATTTAATGCTCAAATTATTTTTGTTGAATGAATAACTTCTGTTCTATCTTTGTAGGTCAGAGTTTCCAATGTCTATCACATATGAAACAAAGTTTTACTTTTGTCTTTATTATCATTATTAATTGATATTTAAATAAAAATATATTGGCAGTATTTGAAACAGCTTTCATTTTCCCTGCAGCAATTCAGGGGTAGAATTCACACAAGAACTTAGATCAGTTGAGTCAACAATGTCCAGTGTTTTTGCTCCTTGCCAACCGCTTTTAATTTTAATATGAGAAATACAACTTGACATTTCAACCTCACTTCAGTTCTTGGTTATTAAATCTTTTCTGAGAACAAGGTGTGGTGCTCAGTTTTCTCTGAAAATAGAGGAGATGTGGATTAGCTAAGTAAAAGTTAGTGTTATTCCACTGTGATTAGTTCCACGAATGACAAACAGAAATTCCAATTGGCTGTCTTACGTAACTGGACATAATCTTCCTTAGCTGTCATGTTATTTTACATTGCTAAATTATCTCTGCTTGGCTTGGACTTGTTCATATGACACAATTATACTTGACAAGCCAAGAAAAGACAATATAAAATACATACTAACTAACATTTCCTAGTCTTTTTGTATTCAGCAAATCTCCAGAGAAACACTAGGTTGGAAATCTTTTTTTGGAAATTTTTGGGAAATATTTGGAATTTTTTGAAATATACTAAATTTGCATTTTAAAAAATATTTATTTATTTTTGGCTGCACTGGATCTTGGTTGCTGTGCTTGGCTTTCTCTAGTTGCAGTGAGTGGGGGCTACTCTCTAGTTGAGGTGCATGGGCATCTCTTTTTGTGGAGCACAGGCTCTAGGGTGCTCGGGTTCAGGAGCACACCGGCTCAGTAGTTGCAGCTTGCTGGATCTAGAGCGCAGGTTCGGTAGTTGTGGTGTATGGGCTTGGTTGCTCCATGGCAAGTGGGATCTTCCCAGACCAGGAATCAAAGCTGTGCCCCTTCATTGGTAGGCAGATTCTGAACCACCAGGGACATTCAGCATTTTAAATATTATCCAAATCTATTTTAAATGAAGCAGAACCACATTAAATTTTTCATTTTTGAATTACTTATAATTATCACTTAACTGCAAATTTAATTATTCTTCCTCAATTATATTTCCTAAATGTTTATTCAGTGCACAGATTACAAACACTCAGATTTTTGAAAGCATGTTACAAATAATTGAGCTTCTCTCATAGCTCAGTTGGTAAAGAATCCTCTTGCAATGCAGGAGACCCTGGTTCAATTCCTTGGTCTGGAAGATCCGCTGGAGGAGGGAAAGGCTACCCACTCCAGTATTCTGGCCTGGAGAATCCTCAATTATATTTCCTAAATGTTTATTCAATGTACAGATTGCAAATATTCAGATTTTTAAAAAATATGTTATATATAAATATCTTGGATGGGGTGTAGAGATTATATCTACTAGTAAGAAATGGAACCAGCTATCAGTCACGTCTCCTACAAGAGATGTTTCCAAAATTGTCTCAGCCCTAGATTGCAAGTTATTTGAACAGTGGTTTCACTTGCTAAGATTTTAATTAGTATGTTTGGGGCTTAGACATTTACACTTTTGTAGACATTTACATATTCTGAAGATGATTCTTATAACTGATCAAGTTTTGAATCATAATTTTAGAGAATTGCCACTACTTTCACTCAGGTTTATTGTTTTTCTTGCAAGACTTTTGCATATTGTTTGCCTCTTGCACGGGTCTGCCTTGCTTATTGTGAATGGGAAAACATGACCTATGAAGATAGAACAATTCATTTATTCAGCAAAAATTGTTTTAATATAAAAACACTGTTGTAGGCAACCAGAATCTGAAAAAGATGCTGCTCTAGCTTTTTCCTGACTCTATCTTCTTTATGGAAACCAGCAGCTTATTGAGATAAAAAAACATTTAAGTTATTAACTATCACGAAGAAACTGTAATTCTCCAACTAAACAAGGGTTCTTGAACATAAACTTAGGAAAATGTTTGAATTAGGTGTATCAAGTAATGCCATCATGGGTAAGGACTAATTCCTGCTATCTAAGGGCTTGCAAGAGTGCATGCTAAGTTGCTTCAGTCTGACTCTTTGTGACTCTATGGACTGTAGCCCACCAGGCTTCTCTGTCCATGGGCTTCTCCAGACAAGAATACTGGAGTGGATTGCCATGCCCTCCTTCAGGGAATCTTCCCGAACCTAGGGATCAAACCCACATCTCTTATGTCTCCTGCATTGACAGGCAGCTTCTTTATCACTAGTGCTGCCCGGGAAGCCCCATCTAAGGGCTTAACGGAAAGCAAATATCTGTATAAGACATAGGAAGATAAAGCAAGAATACAAAAGAGTATAATTAAAAACTAACTTTAATAAAAATGACACAAGATTTTAAGAAAATAGAATTCACAACCAAATGATTAAGAAAAGCTGCATGAGGAAAATGTCATTAAGGGTAGGCAATGAGTGATGAGTAGAGAATTTCTAGATAGAAAAAGAGAAGGATAGTGCTCCATTACAGACACAAAGAGCTTAAGCAATTATTCCTCGACTGGAAAACACAGGGCGTATTTGGGAAACATTGCATAGTTTAGCTTGGTTTAAGGCTGTGGTAGAAGAACAGCATAGGATGAGTAGGATGTCAGTGAACCAAGTCACCACGTATTAGACAGGCATTGAAATTCCCAGAATATTAATACAGAGCTGGTGGTGAAGGGAACGATGAAGGAGAGGAAGCAACCTGGATGATGATAGGCATCAAAACAGGGAAGGTTTATCACATATCAGAGTCTGATAGCATGTACTTGGAAGTAGCTGGAAGCTTTTGTGGAAGTTGGAAGTGGCAATAAAAGGCAGAGGGAATATCTACCTCATTCCTGTGGGTGGAAGAAAATGCAAGGAATGTGGAGGAATTTGCAAGGTAAACTGAATCTGATGATAAAGAGGATTGGTATAGAAGAGGTTGAGAATTGGGTTCACTGATGATGACAAACCATGAATTCCGAGGGGCACAGTTCTCGAGTGGAGAGTGTTGACAAGGTGTGGAAGCTTGAGTTAGATTTGGGAGGGAGATAAGTCTAAGTTGACGTAGAGGGAGACTGGTCTGCCAGTGGTGACTGAGTTAAACCAGAATGCAGGACATTGTGACATTCAACCTGGTCATGTCATAGGGGATATAGGTAATCAGTTATATTATCTATTTAATGCTCATAAGAATCTTACTAGCTCCATATTTTCAGTTTAAATATACAGATGAAGAAAGTTAAAAACAAGGTAATAATTGGCATAAGGCCTTGTAGAAGAAGAGAAGTCTTATTTGAAAGAAGTAGAGTCTTATTTGAAAGTGGGTTTTCTTATTCAGAAGCTTTTCCTTGCCTCTTTCTTCCCCTTCTCCCCCTTCTCTTTCTTCAAATCATGATCCTTCCAAAGGAGATCAAGAAAGTACCATGATGAAGGAAAGGAATAGAAAGGAGATGATGCAGTCTTTTAAAAAACAAGGGAGTTTGTTTCAGGCAGAAGTTGATCAACAGATTAAAATGTTTCAGCCAAATCAAGAATAATGAAGACAGGCCCCAGTCACTGAGCCACCGCCGAGGACTCAGCAACCTCCCCCTTGAGCCCCCTCGCTTCCCGACGCTCCGTCCCCCCTGCCCGCCTTCTCCCGCCGCCGCCTTCCGCAGGCCGTTTCCACCGAGGAAAAGGAATCGTATCGTATGTCCGCTATCCAGAACCTCCACTCTTTCGACCCCTTTGCTGATGCAAGTAAGGGTGATGATCTGCTTCCTGCTGGCACTGAGGATTATATCCATATAAGAATTCAACAGAGAAACGGCAGGAAGACCCTTACTACTGTCCAAGGGATCGCTGATGATTACGATAAAAAGAAACTAGTGAAGGCGTTTAAGAAGAAATTTGCCTGCAATGGTACTGTAATTGAGCATCCAGAATATGGAGAAGTAATTCAGCTACAGGGTGACCAACGCAAGAACATATGCCAGTTCCTGGTAGAGATTGGACTGGCTAAGGACGACCAGCTGAAGGTTCATGGGTTTTAAGTGCTTTTGGCTCACTGAAGCTTAAGTGAGGATTTCCTTGCAATGAGTAGAATTTCCCTTCTGTCCCTTGTCACAAGTTTAAAAACCTCACAGCTTGTATAATGTAACCATTTGGGGTCTGCTTTTAACTTGGACTAGTGTAACTCCTTCATGCAATAAACTGAAAAGAGCCAAAAAAAAAAAAAAAAAAAAAGAATAATGAAGACAGACACAAATGAAGACAAAGGAAAAATCTCCACCCCCGCGTTTTCTCTTTTTTTCCAGGTAAGATGGCACCATTCAAGAGTGTTGAGCAAAATATATTATTCTGATTGCTGTTTTGAGAAAGTACTGCAGGGAAGCAAGTGTAAAAAGAGAAACCCTTGGGAAGATTTTGCAATAATCAAAGAGAGATAATGTTGATTTAGGGCAGCTGTAGGGGTGAGGGTGGTGATAACTGTTCAGATTCTGGATCTACTTACAAGATACAGCCAACAAGATTTTCAGAAAGATTGACTGTGGGATATAAGAAAAGAGAAGGGTTAAGAATGACGGGTCAAGAAAGTTTTTGTCTTGAGCAACTGGAAGGATGGAGTTGTTATCAACACAGATAATGAAGACTGTTGGAGAAGCAGTTTGAGGAGGCATATCAGGGGCTCGTTTCAGATATATATGTTCAGGAAGTTATTTGGACATCTAAGTAGAAATTGCAAGTAGGCAGTTGAATATATGTCTATGGATGAGTAATTCAGAGAAGAGGCATGGGCAGAAATATAAATATGTGAGCTGTCTGTATAAATTGTAAAAGGTGAGGAAAAGAAAGTGAAAGTGAAGTCACTCAGTCGTGTCTGACTCTTTGCCACCCATGAACTGTAGCCTACCAGGCCCCTCAGTCCATGGAAGTTTCCAGGCAAGAGTACTGGAGCGGGTTGCCATTTCCTCCTCCAGGGGATCTTCCCAACCCAGGGATCGAACCAGGGTCTCCCGCATTGCAGGCAGATGCTTTACCATCTGAGCTACCGGGGAAGCCCCAAAAGATGAGCATTATTCCCCCCCTTTTTTGATGCTCTTCCCCAAGAACAATACTTCCTAATATAAAGATGTGGCCTCTATCAAATCCTCTTTATCAAGAACTGATTTTAGACTGAGTAAGATCAGTGGAAAGATAGGAACTAGTTTTTCTCCCCAATTTTGCAGTAATGTGATATGTTCAACAAAAAGTAGTTTGAAAGTTCCTTTGAAAGACAGAGTATACATTCTAAATGAAGAAGAAGCAGGTACTTGGTGATTAAAGTAGTTTAAGTGGTGGCACTTAAAAATTTCTCATCAGTAGGCAGAAGCCCAAAGATTTTTAGTCATTGGTTTACTGATTCATTCATGTATTTACAAAAAAAATACTTGTCAAGCACCTTCTGTGTGGAGTGAAATCTATAGAATTTGATGAATGATTTATGTAAAACATGAGGTACAAGAAAGATTCTTGTGAGGCTCTTGTGAGGTGTTCAGCTTGGGTGAATGCTTGTGCCATTAACCAAGACAGAAATAGCTGGGAGGAGAAACAACTGAAGTTGCTTGGAAATTAGAGAGTTCATTTATATACATCTTAAAATCAAGGAAGTTACATATGCCAGTGTTTGTCTATTGGGCAAATTTTGGAGTGTGTTCACAGCTCAGAGAGAAATCAGGATATAAGGGATTCCATGCCAGAAACCCTTAAACAGTTTCCTCCTAGCTCTTTGCTAGACTAGATTTTCTTATCCTTTAGATCTCAACTTAATTATGACTACCTCATGAACTTTCTCCTCCTGTTATTCTCTTACTTTTTGTCCTGGTTTTTTTTTTTTTCTTCTTTCTTTCTGGTATTATGTATGGTTCTTTGATTACATTTTGTGGGTATTTGCATATTAAATAAATGTCTTCAGTACTTGATGTTAAGTTGCAAGATGGCAATGGCTATTTTGTTCCAACTAAATAGTACAACTTTATGGGATATATAAGCAGTCAACAAATATATGCACAATAAACGAATAAGATATATATTTGGGAGTTCTTGGCATACTGATGACAATTGAAGCCTGAGATAGTATTGAACTTTCTAAGGATGACAAAGAAAAAGACCAATAAAATACTCTGGGGCAGTCCTAACATTAGAGTCAGAAAAGAGTAGTCATTATAGATTTTTTTTTCATTTATTTTTATTAGTTGGAAGCTAATTACTTCACAACATTGCAGTGGGTTTTGTCATACATTGACATGACTCAGCCATGGAGTTACATGTATTCCCCATCCCGATCCCCCCTCCCACCTCCCTCTCCACCCGATTCCTCTGGGTCTTCCCAGTGCACCAGGCCCGAGCACTTGTCTCATGCATCCCACCTGGGCTGGTGATCTGTTTCAGTATAGATAATATACATGCAGTTCTCTCGAAACATCCCACCCTCGCCTTCTCCCACAGAGTCCAAAAGTCTGTTCTGTACATCTGTGTCTCTTTTTCTGTTTTGAATATAGGGTTATCATTACCAATAAATGCTGGAGAGGGTGTGGAGAAAAGGGAACCCTCTTACACTGTTGGTGGGAATGCAAACTAATATAGCCACTATGGAGAACAGTGTGGAGATTTCTTAAAAAACTGGAAATAGAACTGCCATATGACCCAGCAATCCCAATCCTGGGCATACACACTGAGGAAACCAGATCTGAAAGAGACACGTGCACCCCAATGTTCATCACAGCACTGTTTATAATAGCCAGGACATGGTAGCAACCTAGATGCCCATCAGCAGACGAATGGATGAGGAAGCTGTGGTACATATACACCATGGAATATTACTCAGCCGTTAAAAAGAATTCGTTTGAATCAGTTCTAATGAGATGGATGAAACTGGAGCCCATTATACAGAGCGAAGTAAGCCAGAAAGATAAAGAACATTACAGCATACTAACACATATATATGGAATTTAGAAAGATGGTAATGATAACCCTATATGCAAAACATTATAGATTTTTGAGACCAGAAAGATACCAGTGCCCTGAAACCAAATGAAGAAAGTATTTCAAGAACAGCACCTCTTGTTGTCATTCAAGGGAAAGCAAAAGTCACACTCCAATTCTTGCTCTTCACTTTGTGAAAAACAAAACAAAACAAAAAAATGAAAAGTCCCACAAATCAAACAAAATTAGTCTCTTATAATTCATTATTTTTGTCTTCTTCTCTATGATCAATTTTATTTATGAACTGAAGATATTGAGTATATTTTCTTGTTTATTTCTGACTTTGCTTTTGGGATTATCATTTATTTTAGTTCAAAATATGAATAGCTATTTTAAAAAATATTTTATTGATTCATTTGGTTGCACTTGGTCTTGGTTACAGCATGTGGGATCTTTAGTTGTAGCATATGGAATCCAGTTCCCTGACCAGGGGTCGAACCCTGGCCCCCTGCATTGGGAGTGCAAAGTCTTAGTCCCTGGACCACCGGGGAAGTCCCAATAGCTGTTTTCATTTTCAAAAACCATTATCCAAAAACTCCAATATCCATTATTGTCGAACTATAGACAATACGTATTTGTGCAGCTTTGTATGTGTGCTTGTGTGTATAAGTATGTATGAAAGAGAGTGTGTTTCATGTGTGTTCTTTTAGGTTAAGGTAGTATTTGAGTCAAGGATATTTCTTAAGTTCTATGTAGGTCTACATTAGAGAGCTCTGAAAATACGAAGTACATAGGGCCTAAATGTACTGATTAGAAGACCTGAATGTCACCAGGAATGACCCATGGAGTGAATAATTTGTTTCCTTAGGAACATATGGAATCCACTGACTTCAGGAAATATTTTCAGAGTGCACACATATTTCTTCAAGACATTAACATCCCAGGGGAGGAGGAGAAATAAAAACATGACAAGGAGTAATTTAAAATGGCAGGTACTGCAGTTTTCTTTTCCTGAGCTGGAAACCTGATATTTGATACGAATGTAGATGATTTTCTTATGATTGCTATAAAAAGTTGATACTGTTCTTTCCAAAATTCTCTAAAATTTATTTTTTCCTCCTTCTTTGTGGAATTTTGTTGTTTTTGAATAGCTTAGATTGTGGGTACAAAGAAATCAAAACATTGCACATTATTTCTTATAATGTAACCACAAGAAAATGCAAATGCTGAGACTCTGATTCACAAAAGAATATTACCTATTAGTTACGGTATGGTTCAGTGGGAAAATAGAGTCCAAAATTAAATTATATTTCACTAGACTGTAACACAATCAAGCCTTGATTTTTGTGCATCAGTTACATTATTTCCCTTTTTAATTTTAATTTTTCAACATTTTTATAAGATTATAGCACCTCAGGAGACTTAAATGCTGGACTTTGACATAGACAGCCTAGGTTCCAAGTCTCATTTTGCCACTAATAAGATATGTGACCGGGAAAATTCCTTAAATGCTCCGAGTTTCACCTTCCCCACCTATAAGACAGGGTGGTAGTGTTCACTTTAGAGATGACTCTGAGTGAGATGACTCACTTTAATTATGTCATCATAATTAAATTATGATGACATAATTAAAGTGAATAGGTATATTTTTTTTCTTTCTTTACTTTTGAATGCCTAGTCTCTGATAGATGTTGCAAGGGTTAGAATGGCTAGGTACATTGTCTACAAATCCTTGAGAACATAATCATTTACAAAAATCTGAGCTTGAAAAGACAACATTTTGTAGAAAGTAAATTTCAGATTTCTTTTATGCACTTGCTTTTCCTCTTTTGAAATTAAATTTTTTATAATATGGAAAGATGTTTGGATAGTTTAGAAACTATAGACTTCATTGGAGGACAGATTTTAGGACAACAGATTTTTTAATGATGACCCACAGTAAGAAATATCTTATTTTGCAATCTATTACTTTCATTCATATACATGTATATGTATATGTATATATATATATAGTATATATTATATGTTTATATGAAATAAAATTTTTATAAAATTATCCATATATTTGCAGATGTTTAATCTTTTCTACTCTTGCCTAGTCTATTTCATTATTTTAAAAAATTGTCTTTAAAATCCAGTAATTTTATTTATTTTTTTTAAATCCAGTAATTCGATTTTAAGATCCACTAGTGGAGGGCCATCTCATGGCTTGAAAACCATTTTTTACTTCAGATATGTAGCATCTCTGTAATAGAGGCCTTTGTCTGACTGTATTCCCACAA